CTACCCGTGTCGGTCACACAGTGGTTCGGGGGCTGTTTTGAATTTTCGCCCTTGAAACGCCCTTTTTCGACTAAGTTTTGGGCGTATTCGGCTCTAAATCCCAACCTATGGGTCCAAATAACATTTTGTCAGTTGTCACAAATCCTATTTGTAATGGGAAAGCTGCCCATGACAATCAAATGGAGGCTCGGGGGCTGTTTTGAAGTTTCGCCCTCGAAACACCCATTTTGACTAAGTTTTGGGCGGATTTGACTCTAAATCCCAACCTACGGGTCCGAATAGCATTCCGTCAGTTGTCAAAAGTCATATTTGGCATAGAGAACCTGTTCGTTTAGGCCACATGGTGGATCAAAGGCTGTTTTGAATTTTCGCCCCCAAAACGCCATTTTTCGACTAAGTTTTGGGCGTATTCGGCTCTAAATCCCAACTTACGGGTCCGAATAACATTCTGTCAATTGTCACAAGTCATATTTGGCATGGGAAAGCTGTTCATGTTGGCCACATAGTGGTTCTAGGGATGTTTTGAATTTTCACCCCCGAAAGGCTGTTTTTCGACAAAGTTTTGGCGTATTCGTCTCTAAATCCCAACCTACGGGTCCGAATAACATTCCATCAGTTGTCACAAGTCATATTTGGCATAGGGAAGCTGTGCGTGTCGGCCACACGACAGTTCGGGGGCTGTTTTGAATTTTCGTCCTCGAAACGCCGTTTTTCGACTAAGTTTTGGGCGTATTTGGCACTAAATCCCAACCTATGGGTCCGAATAACATTCCGTCAGTTGTCACACGTCCTATTTGGCATGGGGAAGCTGCCCATGTCGGCCACATGGCGGTTCGGGGGCTGTTTTGAATTTTTACCCTCGAAACGCCCTTTTTCGTCTAAGTTTTGGGCATATTTAGCACTAAATCCCAACTTATGGGTCCGAATAACATTTCGTCTGTTGTCACAAGTCATATTTGGCATGGGGAAGCTGTTCGTGTCGGCCACACGGCGGTTCGGGGGCTGTTTTGAATTTTTGCCACGAAACGCCCTTTTTCGACTAAGTTTTGGGCGTATTTGGCACTAAATCCCAACCTATGGGTCTGAATAACATTCCGTTAGTTGTCAAACGTCCTATTTGGCATGGGGAAGCGGCCCATGTCAGCCACATGGTGGTTCGGGGGCTGTTTTGAATTTTTGCTCCCAAAACGCCCTTTTTCGACTAAGTTTTGGGCGTATTCGGCTCTAAATCCCAACCTACGGGTCCGAATTACATTCCGTCAGTTGTAACAAGTTACATTTGGCATGAGGAAGCTGTTCGTGTCGGCTACACGGTGGTTCAAGGGCTGTTTTAAATTTTCGCCCCCGAAATGCCCTTTTTCGACTAAGTTTTGGGCATATTCGGTACTAAATCCCAACCTATGGGTCCGAATAACATTCTATCAATTGTCACACGTGCTATTAGGCATGGGGAAGCTGCCCGTGTCAGCCACACGGCGGTTCGGGGGCTGTTTTGAATTTTCGCCCTCGAAACGCCCTTTTTCAACTAAGTTTTAGGCGTATTTGGCTCTAAATCCCAACCTACGGGTTCGAATAACATTCCGTCAGTTGTCACAAGTCATATTTGGCATGGGGAAGCTGTTCGTGTTAGCCACACGGCAGTTCCAGGGCTGTTTTGAAGTTTCGCCCCCGAAACGCTCTTTTCCTACTAAGTTTTAGGCGAGTGACAACATATCAACTTAATCGATAATATTTAATACTTGCTAGTAGTTTTGATATGGCCACACACATACTCCTGGACAATTTTCATGTCTTGAAACTTATTGTGTTCCACGAGCTTTGTTAATCCAATAGCTATGTCATAGACCCAAACTAATTTGCACTAAACTAGATCAGCTCAGGTAAACAAGGCCAACAATATTAGATTCAAAACTATTTACCATTCCTAAACCAATATATGTCACGACTTTGACTTCTTTTTTTTCTTTATTTTTTGGGTCTTTCTACAATAGGTAGGAGAGGAATAGGGGAAGGGGAAGCTTCGTCACATGGAAGCAAGACTCGAACCCAGGCATCATACCTAGTAAGGGAGTACCTTATTCATTTGGCCAATCCCTGGTAGTAGACATGGCTTTCATGAGTTACAAATATGCAATATTGTAAGACTGGGTAACATCAAGAGATGAATACTTTGATCATGAAAAAAAATACCCTAATTCAATTCCATCTTCATTGCTGAAGTAATTTATTGCTATCTATTTTATGTTCACACAGCTGTGAAAACTGTAAGGGTCATAGAAATCCAAGGATTAAACACAATGCCAAGAATATGACCAAAAATGAAGAATGAAGCCAAAAGTTAAAACAAGCACACGGTCTGTGTGAGTCACACGGTGGTTCGGGCGCTGTTTTGAATTTTTGCCCCCGAAACGCCCCTTTTCGACTAAGTTTATGACGTATTCGGCTCTAACTCACAACCTACTTGTCTGAATTGCGTTCCGTCAGTTCTCACAAGTCCTATTTGTCATGGCAAAGCTATTCATGTGAGCCACACGGTCATTCGGGGGTTGTTTTGAATTTTTGCCCTCGAAACACCCTTTTCCGAGTAAGTTTAGGACGTATTTGGCTCTAACTCCCAACCTACATGTGCTAATTACATTCAGTCTATTGTCACAGGTCCTATTTGTCACGAGGAAGCTGGTTGTGACATCTGTACGGTGGTTCGGGGGATGTTTTGCATTTTCACCCCTTTAAAGCCCTGTTTTGGTTAAGTTTAAGGCATTTTCGGCTCTAACTCCCAACCTAAACGTGCTAATTACATTTCATCTATTGTCACAGGTCCTATTTGTCATAAGGAAGCTGGTTGTGACATCTGTATGGTGGTTCGGGGGCTGTTTTGCATTTTTGCCCCCTTAATGCCCTTTTTTGGTTAAGTTTAAAGCATTTTTGGCTCTAACTCCCAACCTACACGTGCTAATTACATGCCGTCTGTTGTCACAGGTTCTATTTTTCATGGGGAAGCTGGTTGTGACATTCGTATGGTGGTTCAGTGGATTTTTTGCATTTTCGCCCCCTTAATGCCCTTTTTTCGGTTAAGTTTTTGGCATTTTCGACTTTAAGTCCCAACCTACACGTGCTAATTACATTCCGTCTATTGTCACAGGTCTTATTTGTCATGAGGAAGCTGGTTGTGATATACGTACAGTGGTTCGAGGGCTATTTTTTATTTTGGCCCCCTTAATGCCCTTTTTCGGTTAAGTTTAAGTCGTTTTCGGCTCTAACTCCCAACCTACACGTGCTAATGACATTTCGTCTGTTGTCACAGGTCCTATTTGGCGTGAGGAAACTGGTTGTGACATTTTCGGCTCTAACCCCCTTAACGCCTTTTTCGGCTCTAACCCCCTTAACGCCTTTTTTTGGTTAAGTTGAATGCTCCTCAGGAACGATCCAAGTTCCATCACATTTTTCCAAACATTTCCAATCTCTACTCAATTTTAGATCCAAACCTAACTTTAGCAGCATAATTTTAAAAATATCACTAATAGATATACTTTAGGGAAAAAATATTTCACACAAAAAAGATTTACCTTTTCAAACGAAAATTTTGATTTCAAAAGGATAGTGATTTAATATTAAATTTTCAATTTGATCACTAAAAATACAATAATGACAAAATATGTCATTTTCATCCTTAATGTTTTTTCCCCTCCTCTAAAACCTTAATTTATTGTAGTGTTGGTTGTGAGGTGAATTAAGAATTGGCATTTACACGACAAAATATGAGAGCAATACTACACAACAGTCACATCACATGAAATTTAATTAAGAATTGGCATTTACACAACAGTCACATCACATGAAATTTAATTAGTAACTAGAGATTCCAACTGCACAAACTGGGGGGAAGAATTGTGCACTGCTCTTCTATTTGGCCCATGGAAAGGAATAATATAATATGACAATAAAGAAAAAGAAAGAAGAAACTTGATAACTTGGCTAGATTAGGGATTGATTCTAATTAGAACTTCAAGACCATACTTTACAATCTAAAATTTACGGTTATGTAGGGCTAGTACATAATACATGGAGTATAATTTTAGCAAAATTACAAATAGAAATGATGTGACAGTGAAACTTGATAACTAGCTATACCAAGACTAACCATTTCAAATGTCTCATATCAATTACACATAAAAAGGAGAAGTTTAAGAAGATGCCAGCAATATCCTTACAGGTACAATGGATGGAATAGAAAAGTCTTATTTGAGTCTTGCATGATCATGAAAATTCCCTCTGATTTGAAGGGGAAGTTTTATAAGATCTAGTCAGCTATGTTCTATGGCTCCGACTGTTGGCTAGTTGGAAACCATGTCCAAAAATGAGTGCAACTAACACAAGAATGTTGAGATGGATGAGTTGTATAATGAAAAAAAGACCCAAACAAGGAATGAATATTGTCCTAGGAAGTAAGAAGTGAGAGGTATAGCTAACACGAGAATGTTGAGATTGAAGAGTGGTATTATGAAAAAAGACCCAACAAGAAATGAATATTGTCCTAGGAAGAAAGAAGCGGTGCCAAATTGTTTAAAAAGAGAAAAGTTAATTGACATGGTTTTGACCATGTCCTGCACAAATCAACTAACGCACAAACATGGAAGTGAGTAGGGGCCAAGAAAAAAGAACTTGATTGCTTTGGATTTCAATGGAAAATATTGCATTAGAAATCTAGAGAAGATGCATAAATATAGCAACCCCCCCCCCCCCAATTATTTGGATTTATGCTTCTTGATTTGAGTTAAGTATTCAGAATTTTGATATCAAGTAGTAGAATAAACAAGCAAAATGCTAACTTGTCATTGAACAAAGCCAAAGCTTGATTATCTCACATTCAATATAGAAAAGCAGTATAGTTGAAGAAAAAAAACTACTTACACCAAATAAAATAAATTGAGGTAATATAGACATCAATCATCCAAGTTCAACAGATAGAGGTAAAATACTGTAGGGGCCATATGACTCACCAATTCAGATACATAATCCATCCCTTTTTTCACTTTCAAACTCATGAATTTAAACTTGACCTTGCTCCTCTGATCTATTTGTTTCTCATTTTTTTCTAGATGCTCCATGAACTTGAACACTGCCAATCAAATTCAAATACAGAAAGGAAGTCAAATATTCATCAGCTAACTATACATAGAAAGTTATGAATATAGTCGTAAATCTTCCATTTACGATAAGATTGCTGTTGGCTCTAGAAGATCTTGGGACCTTGGTGCTCCTTGAGCCTTTACCAACTATGTCTTCAAAATTTTCTTCTTCTTTTTCGCTAGAGAAAGTGCAACGCGAACACTTCTAAGAAGGTGTGTTATCTGTGTTCAACAATTGTCCGACAGACTGACACCAACACTTAATAGACACTTCCCGACATGTGTTAGACACATGTCTAAACATGTCATTATTTTAAAAAATAAATAAAAATTAGACCTGAACATTATTCGGACACTTCCTTTAAACTTAAAAGTTTGAACAATAAGTTTTGACACATTAAATACATAGAAGTTTGAACAAAATACCATTTGAAGTTCGAACAAACTTGGAAGGAAAATGACACCTAAGACCAAGAAATAACTCTAGACCAAGAAAAAACAACAATCATAATCTGCCACCAGTAGCAGCCTCATAACAGCAGCACACACCAGCAGCACCTCTACCTTATAGACAATATCTGTCACTAAGCTGCTACTGCTACTACACCTCTACCCAAGTTATCTTCTCATCCCAAGTCTGACCCAGCCATCCACCTTATAAACATAATCTAACCTTAGACACATTCCTTTACCACACAACACCATCAGCACAGAATATAGCAGCAACCAATCTTTCCTAGCAAACCAAAGATGATGATCAACACCATTTTCTTAGAATTCCAAATGAAAAGGTCTAGGGACAAAAGCATAAACTGAAGTTCTAATCAATCAGAAGGTTTCTTAGAAGGCTAATATATGATTTGAGTTGTTCATTTATTATTTATCATTTTGTTAAAATAATTATTCTGACTTTTGCTATGGAATGCTTGCTTACTGTGCTTTACCATATAGATTTTGATGTTACATTAGAAAGATTGCATTTCTCCGCAGTTTTAGAAGGTAGAAATATTGGTGACTCAGTTATCTATGAGATAGACAAAATGATAGACGATAGTTACCTCATAGTTTGGTGTGAAAATGGGATAGATGCCAGAGCATATCGAAGGGTGCTTGGACCATTGTTAGACCACGGGTGTTTTGTCCATCCATAGGAGCAGAAACAGAGCTCTCAACCTGTAAAATACACAAAAGACATTGATCTATTAAGAGGTTATAGTAAACACAAAGATCACGACCTGTGTGATTACAAAAATTCAAAGACGAGAGAATTCAAACCAGCACAGATTTGAAAAAAAGGCTAAATTGAATAGAATGAGTTAAATCAATTTTATTAACTTAACATTAAAACTAATTTTTGGCACTATTTATTTTTTTCTCTATATCTTCTTGTCCATCATTTTGTCCAGAAATCTCAATTAAATGTCCTCTCAACTTGCTTTGTAGAAAAATTTACACAATAAGAACTTTATGAAGTACATTCATTCTTCCATCACCCACCATCATCACAAAAGTAAACTTATAATCAGTCATCAACATGTAAATGCAAATACTTATCAATTGACACCCAATAATGGGGAAAAAATGGCATGAAATGAGGAAAGAAATTAAACCAATGAAACAAGCTGGTAATTACATAAAGATAAGGTACAACATTTAGTTAAGCCATCAAATCTAATTATATTTAATAAAATTCAACCCACAACTAAAATTTAGATACTTCGACTAAGATGCCTGCACATAACCATCAAGTGTAATATTATTGCTCCAATAAGTCATCTCACTAGCCATACAAAAAAGTAGTCATATGCTTCATCAGCTGCAAGTGGTATGCAATCATATAAAAAGATTCTCAAAACAGAGAGCAGTTATACAATGGCACAATAACCAATAACAAAATTAAACCATCATTATCTCCATGTAACAGAATAATGTTAAGTGCCACTACATAACAAAGTCTAAATTCCCACTAAACATTTCAAATCATATAAATGGACTCCCAAAAAGTGATCAAACTAGTATATAATCCCAGATATGTGTGTAAATACAACGCAGATTCATAGGCCCTTGCTTTAATGATTGGTCTTATAAAACATCTAACATTTTGCAAGATAAACATGTGAATCCAAACTTACTTTCATTTAGGATGCACTACCATAGGTTAATCTTGTCGAATTGTAGTTTCAATAAGATTTCTAGTTCTATCACCATTGATACCATCACCATCATACTACAACTTCCACTAGAATGCCATCAAGACTACTTTCAGACCACTACAATGCTAGGCAGACACAATAACTGTTTTCCTTCAGCTGGTTGTTTGAAAAATTGATATTTTGGATAAAAAAAATTTAAAAATTAAAAAAACAACATTTACATCATTTAATGGTGCCAAAAGCATAAAAATCTCAAGTCACAAAACAAACATTCAATTAACCGTCTCTAGCTTTAGAAAATAATTTTACACATATATATATATAGAGATATAGATATAAAAATTTCCCAACAAGCCATAACCAATAAAATTTGTTTTTTATTTGTATAATGTTCCATACAATTTATGATTTATGGTTTCAAAGAAAATCATTCTGAATCAATCAAGACAAAGATTCTTCTTAACTACTGAATTGGAATTTTCCAAAACAAACAGAGCCCAAATTAGGTTATTAATTATACATAATTATAGATACAACAATTTAGCAAAACAGGGAATTTCTTAATAAAACAAAACAGAGCAATTATAAAATAAATTTCAAGCAAACAATCTCCCTCCTAAAACAAGAAACATCAAATCAAAAACACAAAAAAATAGTAAAATCTCACAAAGTATCAAACTGTGCTAAACAGTGTGTTTCCAAAAGCAGAAAACCAAAAGAGAAAGAACAGTTGTTTTAGGAGTTGTTTGGTTCACTTACATGATCTGATTATTAGTCTAGAGAATACAAAATCTAACAAGCTATCACCGAGCTAACCAGATTCAAAATAGCGAATCCTAATGATGCTGCAGTAGAGAACACAATGACCTTGCAGCTTCTACTTCACCGTTGAATAACCCAAGATACATATACATGCAAGCAAACATCATAATCTCATAGATAAAAGGGGTCCCTAAGCATTTCTACTTTGAAATTACCATTCTAGATTTTTATCCAGCATGAAAAAAAGTACAATGGCAAGTTCTCAAAAACCAAATCGAGTTCCTAACACCAACTACCAGGTTTTGTAACTTCTAATATTTCCATCTAACAATAGGATCATTTAATTAATTAGTAACAATTTGCAGTTTAAGGACACTCATTTCTTCCCAAGGAACTGTCCCACTTGAGCCTCCCATAGACCACATTTGTGCAAGGTCACTCCTCTATATTTTGAGCTCCCCCGAGAGAATCCGATGCTTTGGTGACGAAGAACGTGCACAAATTCCTCTTTATTCAGGTATGTCATTTGCTCATTAATTTAAAGACATTTAGCTTGCAACAAATTACTTATGCTTAATATAAAGACAAAAAAAAAAAAAAAAAAAAGTGAACAATATCTTACCATCTATTGCCTACCTGTTTCATATCGTCTTCGTAATCACAAAGTAAAATTGATACTCCAAATCACTTTAAAACATTGAATTCAGACATTAGCCAACTACAACAATTGGGGGGAAAAAAGATAATAACAATAAGAACACAATGGAGATAGATTACCTCATCAAATCATTGCTTTCTAGCCACAACCTGCAACATCATTAATTATTCCTAGTAATGAAGCAAACTAAGAGAGGGAAGGGAAAGATGGAATTTTGCAGCAGCAGAGGCTATTTTAGGAGGGCTTTTAACCTTTATTTTGATCCTCAAACATCAAACAATCAACAAGGGAGCAAGGGGAAATGATGAGTGTGGGTGTATATGAGCTTAAACTTGTGTCTTCCATTGATAAAAATAAAACCATAGATCCAAAAGCTTAAACACTCTACAAAATTAATTTCATAACAAAATTATTTTGCCTAATGTAGTATGCCTCTCACTTATACAGTTTGTACCTAATTACACAATCACTCTTAATTACGTGATAAATTGAACCCAATTTGGACTCCCACCTCTTTCCCGGAGGCACTTCAGTAAATTAGTTAACAAAAAAAAGGGTTAACAAATTTCATAAAGAGCAACAACACTAGCATAGCAAGCCACTTATGGATCTAGGGCAAGTTTTATACGATTTGGGGATACGGCAAGCTCGAGAGCGAGAACGAGAGAGAGCGCGAGACTGAGAGAAAGAGCGAGATATAACCTGGTATTGCGGCAGTGGCAGTGGTGATTTGCAACGGTGGCGATTTGTGACGGTGGCAATGTGTGACGTCGAATGTTTCCCGGTGGTAAGTGCCTGAGGTGAGGTGAGATTTGGTGGTGAGTGTGTGTGTGTGTGTGTGAGAGAGAGAGAGAGAGAGAAAGAGAGATAGTGCTTTGTATTCCTAAATAGAGGAGAATACCTGGGAGGGCGCCAATAGGTTTTCATTTTCCCACTAAAATTTTGGCAGCTTTGGTGACTAATTTCAAATTTTGTCGACAAAAATGTAAGTAATAACGAGTAAATTATTTAGCCAAATCAACTCAAATGGCGACTAAAATGTTAGTCGCCAAAACTCAATCTACGGCGACTAAAATTATTTTTGTCGTTGAAAATAACTTTTGGCGACAAAATTTTAGTCGCCAAAGGTAAAAAAATAATTCTTTATTTTCCATTCGGCGACTAAATATTTTAGTAGCCAAAACTCAACTTACGGTGACTAAAATTCTTTTTGTCGCTAAAAATAAACTTTTGGCGACCAAAATTTTAGTCGCCAAAGGTAAAAAAATAATTTTTTATTTTTCATTCGACGACTAACTGGTTTTAGTAGCCAAAACTCAATATACGGCGACTAAAATTCTTTTTTGCCGCCAATTTTGGCAGTTTTTAGTGACTAAATTTTTTTTTAGTCACTAATAACCAATATACCCCTACTAAAAAAAATTAGTAGCTAAATGTTGTACTTTTGCCAACTAAAAAAAATTTAGTCGTCAATTCCATAACTTTTGGCGACTAAATTTTTTTTAGTCACTAATTTAGTCGCCAAAGGTGCATTTTGTTGTAGTGTGTAGAGGTTCATCTTTTGGGTCTTCATCTCTCTCTCGCAACTCTTGAGGTAGGAATATCTTTATCCTTGTATATCTATAATTTGATTTAAATGTGTGTAAATCTTTTGGTGTAGGCATTTGATTTGGAATGGGGATATGTATGTATATATATATATATATGAATATTTTTGATGATAGTGAGTTTTGCCCAAAATTGGTGAAAGATTTGAATATCTACTAATGAAAGATAGTGTAAAAAGCATAAATCAAGGAATAAAAAGACATGAAAGGAAAAACCCTAAAATTATTGTGAAACCCTAAATGTTGTTCATGGATCATGATTAACAAAGGAAGAGAAATAGATGAGTAAATTGGAAGAGTATTGAGATTCTTGTATTATGATAAGAAATTAGTTTTGGAATGGGCTTGTTGTGTGCTATGGCCTTACCCACGTAGGGAAATTGAGGTGCCTACTTGCCTAGTCGAGTGAGGACGACAGATGTGGGGATGTTTTGAGGTGTCCACTTGCCCGGTTGTGTGAGGATGACAAATGTGGAATGGTTAAGGTGCCCACTAGCCATTTGTGTGAGGACGGAGAAATGTGGAAATGAAGATAAAGTTGTGTTTGTTTTAGAAAATTGGAAACATAGTACTCATGGGTATTGGTAATGATCATGTATATTTTAAATCAAATGTTTGTATACTTGGTTAAATATATTCTCTACTAGGCAATTGATCATTCCTATCTAACAACATTTTAGAACTCGGTGAGCTGCAACCATACCACTGAAAGAGGAGATGACCAACCTTGTTATTTTAAAATTTGTGAAATTTTGAAGTTGTAATTTAACTGTCGAACTTTTTTATTTTTCTCTTTTGATATGCGTGCCCTTTTTGTTTTAATGATCACGTTGTAATGTGTAAACCCAACAGGCAATGTTTTAGTTTTCTCTAACTTATTGAACTGTAAACAGTTAATATGTAATTTTGTAAGTTAAAATCTATAGTTCAATGAGAATAAGAATCATTGGAATTGATCTTGCATTTGTTCGGGAATGTGGAGCAGTCTGTAATTGATGTCAAATTGGAATTATTTTGGGGGTGTTACATGTTTGATTGTTTGCTTCTTTTAATTATGTGACTGGTAGTGACTATTATAATAAATATTTGAAAGTTGAATTTATGGTGTGTACTACACGATGAAAAATTATATATTTTGTAGTGAATAAAAAGGGATATATTTTTGTAGTGACCAAAAGATTATATTTTGTGGCGTATAAAAAAATATTATATTTTTATGATGAGATAAAATTATATCATTTTATTACTTATGCTATTAAATTTTAAAGTATTCTTACAAATTTTAAATAATACAATTGTTGAAGTGGGTCACAACCCACGTGGGGCTGCCCTCCCCCCACTTCCTTTGCTTACTTGCTACTATTTTCTTCTTCTACTTTTTACTTCGGTTTTCTTTTGAGCAGAGAGCTCTGGTCTCTTTTTCCTCCGCATCTCTTTCTCTCTCCCCCTTTTTGACCTCCATTATTGCTCAACATTTGAGCTTCAAATGGGAGTCCTTAGAGTGAGATTTTGCAGAAGTTTTGTAAATGAAAGTCGAGGAGCTTGTCGTACTCTTCGCAACGGTAGTCTCGAATTAAAAATCCGACGAGGTTTATATCTCGGATCTACTTCTCTTTATTATTTGAGGTAGGGACTTTCTTCATATTATTTCTTTAAATCCATGTTAGGGATATTTTGAGAAAATATATCATGATAGGAGGCATTACATATATTATTTTTAGATTTTTGTTTGAATTATTTGTGGAAGAAAATCATGTTGAAATGTTAAGAATGCTGGTATTCTGAAAATTGATTTGAAAAAAATAATCTTGTGTTAGTAATAGTTGTTAAAAAAATCCAAAAACAAATTTAATAGTTGTATGGTTTGTATCTACATCATATTATGATTAAATAATTTATTTTGAGAAAAATAATGTTGCAATATTATCTCGTCTTTGATTTTTAGAATTTATTTTTGAGAAACATAAATTGATGTTGATGAATATTGTGTAAATTGTTAAGTTGAAATTATAGAGTTGTTTTGGGATTAAAAACTCTAAAAATGTTATATTCGTGATATTTTATGAATGAGATATATATTGATGACTAGGTTTTGTTCATTTTTGTGAAAATGAAAATATAAAATGAGGACTTTTGAACTTTCAACCTTAAAAAGGTTACTCTTGGGCATATTTCATGACTTTTGATGTAAATATAATGTTGGTTAGTTAATTTTAGAAAAGTTTTGAAATTGTTATTTGTAAAGAATTTGGGAAAAATTAACTATTTAAGTAGCTTGTGTGACAACCTGATTTCGTATTATACTATTAAGTCGCAATTATACTTGTGATTATATGATTTATATGATCTTGGATGCTAATCATGTGATTATGTATGTTTTTTAATTTATATCTATTCATCATAGCAAAATTCTGTTATGTATTCTATAATAAACTGAAATTAAGGGCCTTAGAGGCGACAGAAACCAAAATTGACTGTACCATGGTGATTAGTATAATTTTTTTAGAGCCTAAGGTAAAATTTAATTAAAAACTGATTCTGATCAAATTAATTAGATTAAATTAAGTAATGAGCCTTAATTAATTAGACTAACCCTTAGTTAATTAGCTTAAGCTAATCACTCACTATATATATATGTGTGTTTGTGTGTGTGTGTTAAATTAGTGCCTAGGCTCATAACTTGAGCTCATCTTTAATATTTGGCTGAAAGTATACACTATAGAGAGAGAAGTGAGAATTCAAAGGAGAAAAGAGGAGAACTTGGAGAATTGCTCAAGAAATTGAAGTATGGTGAAGCTGGGCACAAGAATTTGCTACACCTAGGCTCATTGAAGTTCAAAGGTAAGAGATTGAACCTTAATTCATGAGTTTAAGTTCATAATTAAATGGATTCAAGAAGATAATGAAATGAATTGCACAAATTAAGTTTGGAATGAAGAGTTGAAGATTAATTCATCCATGCATGAAAGAAATTACTGTGAAATCTCATTTTAGAGTATAATCTATGTTGTCTAAGTCAAAAGAAAAGTCATTTTGGTCATGCATGCATAAGTCATGAGGCTATGAACTTGAATTTCATGTTTATAAAGCCTTAGAACAAAAATTGGACCAAATTGAGACATACATGGTGAATTCCACAAGTTTAGGCTTTGATTTTTGTAGTTTGAGCTAATATTTATGTTTATTAATGAGTATATGAAGTCAAGAGTATGTCATGTTTGAATTTGGAACTTTGGATATGAGTTTAAAACTCAAAATAGAATTCTGGAAATTCCATAAATTTGACAGACCATTCGAGCGACCAAAAGGTGGCTCGAGCGCACATTTCAAGCATCTAGTATTTTTGCAGACATTGGAGGTTGGCTCGAGCGATCAAAAGACCGCTCGAGCGACCACCCTTTATTTTCAGTCTTGGCTCAAGCGACCAAGAAGTTGGCTCGAGCGTAAACTGAGAGCATCCAGTACTTTTGCAGACTAAGGGGTTCACTTGAGCGACCAATGTTGCGCTTGAGCTAAGTGCCCTATTTCAAGAAAATTTGAAAAGTTGTTTTATGTTCCAAATTCCGTTCTCTTTCATTTCTAGGCATTCCTATGCATACATTGAGCATTCTAAATGAACTAAAGAGTTAATAAGAAGCCTAAGAAAGATAAATGAATTAAAGAACGGATTGAATGGTATTGTGAACCAATTTCTGTATGTGTTATGAATTGTGTAGGGTCAACTCTGAGGATGAATCAACCAACTAAACATATGAGTGATATCTTAATAAAGATATTTTTCCTATACTCTATTTTTCTGACTATTCACATATGGTAAGCTTTTTTGAACCTATGATTTGATAAGTGTGAATGAGTTACCATCTTCTGTCTGAACGATATGATAACTATGTGATATTAATAAGGGTATTATCTGTACAAGTGAATCACCTGACATAAACATGAACAGTGGACCTAGGGTCATTTTGTATATATTTGAACTACGGAGCGAAGTCGCTCAATATATCTAAATTGGGCCTAAGGCCATTTTGTGTATCTGATAAAGTGGACCCAAGGTTGTTCTGGATCTCTGATAAGACTGATTGACTGATATGATATGATCGAATCTCTAACTAGTCTAAATGACTGATATGCAATTGCAATAATTGAATGGCCATTATACTACTGTAAATGATTGAACCCGACCCTCTAGGGGTGAGTTTGGGTCGTGACAGCTTGGCATGAAATATGGTTATGCTTGAAAGATGAGACATGTGAAGTTATGTTTGATATTATTGATTTGGAAA